GACTAGGTTTTTTGCCTTCTTTTGGATCAACAGCAAAAACATAGGTGAGGAAGGCTGAACTTGATGGACGCAAGTCTCTATTCCACTATGTAACTACGTAACTATATGTAACTATGTAACTAAAACCCCCATCTCGGATTTCAGTGTACCTACACTTCATTTTTTGTTTTTTTAGACTTAAAAAAAATGGGGAATTGTTTTTTTTTTCTCTTTGGCTACCACTCTCTTATTTTCTAGTTTAGCCACTCTAATTGCCTTTTCAAGAGATTCCAGAATGTCTTGAGAAAGGCGCCGTTGCCCCAAAACGCACAACAAGACAATGGCACTTTAGGCTGTATGCACCCTATGTGCATCTGTTTTTAACTTCACTCAACCCTGTGGTCCCATATTCCAGTTTCCTTATGCCTTATTAGGGAAGTTGTAGATAGATATTGGGGACTGCCTCAAAGCAGTATGGAGGTGGTCTCTTTAGAATCTAGGATTAGGATAGTTTTTCCTCTACATTTGAATAATTAGGAGACTGGGGTTGTACACTTTATCACCCTTTTAGTTAGTGATTTATATATTCCCCTGTGTGTTAGGCAGAAGAACCCGGAAGGGATTTGTTTTCTTTGTTTCTAAATTATCTAAACTTGGAAGTATTTATTTTTGAATGAGGTCCCAGGTGTATAAAAATAAGCTTTATCTGGGAACTCAGTACATCCTGATCAATGAGACAAGTGGTCCCCTCTAATGGTATAACTTTATATAATTAGATCAGGAGACTTATTAGCACCCTCTACCCTAATTGAAAAATTATATTCAAACTACATAGAAATATTATTTTCTTTTTAAAACAATCTGTATTGACTTTCACTTATTCAATGTAGCAATTTAATAGGGTTATCAATTTTATTTTGGGAATACATATAAGGGGATTAACTAGCACATTCTACCCCTATTTAGAAGAACTTAACCCAAATACTATAGAAGTGTCAATATCTTCGGAAACAGTGTATCAACAGTAGTCTGTGAATTAGCTACTTTGTAAGCAACATTCTTAAAATGAATGAAGTATTGATACTAAAGTAACACATTACAAAACCAGTTTATGGACCCCAGTGATTTGCTCACCTAATCACGTTGTTGTGACACTAAACATAGTTTGTTTGTTGAAATATTGTTGGTTTTCTTTTCATTTCAAATAAAAGTTGTTATGAATTTTGCTTTAAAAAAGTGATCTTCAATTATAGGGTAATGGATGATAGCTGCTCACTTGTTGAGCTACTCTCCTGTCTACGCTAAATCATCTAATTAGGGATACCCCCTTTCTAGATGACCATGTTACCTACTTCTACATACATTGTATGTTAGTTAGATAGCCAATTTATTTTCTTCCTTATATCTTGTATAGGATGCCTTGGTTTTGTACAATTTAAATGTTTTAAATGCCCTTTTCTTATTGTTAATATCTTGGTGTATCTTCCTGCTAAACCACATTTGTTTCAATTTGTTTATTTTATATTTATTACCCAATAGTACGCACTGAGAAATGTACCTAATAATGTTTTTTTTTTGTTTTTTTTTAAATGACGACTGGAGAAAAAGCAGCTCTTCAAAAGGATGCCATATTGAGACTAAACAAATTAGAATTAAAAAAAAATATATATATATAAATAAAAATTAAATACATTGAGATACAGCCGGTGAAATCCAATTATGTAAAACAGAGTGACTGGTCCTCAACTTTCATGTTACGCTGACCATCCCTACTAAAAATCAGAGGACTCTGAAAAAAAATGTTTTACAAAAAAGATACTTTAGTAGATTGGCCTTTGACAGCTCTAAATTCAACTTCGACAGAATTTAAATGCATAAATATAAAATCAGAAATATAGGGAAACATGTAGGCTACAATGCAAAATATATATAAAAAGGTCAAAAGTAGGTTAAGGGACCATAGACAAAGTGACAATATACATGTATTGCAACACTTTGCAAAATATATGCAAAACAAAGGCAGTGCACGTGACTGTGAGAAGGAACCTTATGAGAGAGCCCATACTGTCCATACCATACATCTATAGGGCTATTTGCTAAAGTGAGAATTCAAAGTGAAGTTGTAAAGCTGCCCTTATCTGATTGAAATTGGCCTTTTTTAAATTTATATGTTTTAGCATTCCCAATGTGCATTTGCCAGAAGAATGTGCGGTTATGGGTAACACATTAGGAGATTTACTAAGCCATTGTTAACAAAAAATAATCAAAAGGGCTTTTCTTAATTTTAGTTTAGGCTGTTTAGTAGATAGCTCCCTAATTTCATACCCTTATGTGGGATTGCCATTTTAAGGATACCAAATTAAATTAAAGCATTAAAAAAATTAAAATTATATATATATATGAAATACTCCAACCAATGATCATGAATGAAATCCCTCACCTCAATTAACTTCTAATCAAAGTCCCAAACAAAAGATCATTGATGAAATATATTTCCAATTAATCTCTATCCAAAGTACGTCATCAAGTTCCCTGAAAAAAAAGAAAAAATTACAAATATAAATATATACTGCAGTTTGCAATTGTGGTAAAGAGGATTTTATAAATAATCCTAAACCATCCACCAGAGGGAGCATTATTGCGTATTAAGACACGTGGATTTCAGTAAAAAAAAAATAAAAAAAAATATAACTCTTTTCAATATGTATTTACACATTTATCTACTTAAAGAATAAGGGAAGAGAATTACCTATTTGACTCATGCCCATTATTTGATATTGTTTGGCATTTTGTGAGATACAGAACAGTCATTCGTTACAAACAAATTCTAGAACTCTATACAAGTTTTGGAACAATATTTCGGCAGTACATAAAATTAAGTTTATATAGCCTCTAGTCATTTGCTTCTGATTTATGTCATTCCTGCACACCCAGAAGGTGTTGGTTAACTGGCAAATGTTACATTGTAGTATGGACACAGCTAAGAGAGATAGAAAGGGTGCAGTGTCTATATATGATAACCTCTATGTGTTCCAACTTTATAAGAGTTTAATATTCTTTTTCCTCTAATTTGTACAGTGGACAGTTTGAGTTACAAAGAGGAACCCCAGAGTCAACTTTAATGGAGTAGAGGTCCATATGAACTAGATCTACAAAATCTATAGTATTGGAAATTTTAAGAAATATGTATTGCACATACTGCAGGGTATCATTTCTTTTCCAAATTCTTCCTGACTACCCCAAATGACTCTCTGACTAATGCTAAACTCCCATATGAGTAATGCTTTTGCAGACCTATCCTGAGGAATCTCTGCTCCATCAAGCCAGAATTACATAAGTTATATATTGTCCCTCGCAGAAAATTAAGGAGCTCGAAGAAATCAACAGAAAATACAAGAGAACATGATTTTATTGCATTAGGTCAAATGGTATGGGCCATTAAGTACGTGCCTTTCAAATCAATAGATTATGCTTATAATTCATATCACTATGAATCTAAAATCGGCCGTGATTATTTCTGCAAGTGACAATAGCAAATTAACAAGTATAATTAAAATCATGAGTAGAGAATTGTCACAACAAAACATCGAATGATAATCTGACACCATCAGAAATGATCTTCAGTGACATAAACAGCAGAAAGCATTAAGAGACGAACAAACGTAAAAATAGCAGCACGTTTAACTCATACAGCTAGGAAGAGTTTTAAAAAAGAGATTATGAGATGTAATATGTCAGCAAATTCTTCTTGCTCTTTCTACCAGCTTTTTTTTTTATTATTTAATATATATATATATTTTATTTTTTTTTTCTAAAATTAATTTAAACTCCATTTATATTCATGTTGGTTATTAAACCCAGATGTTCTTTAATAGTAATCACAAAGTTGAGAAGCTAAGATTAATAATTAGATGTGAAAATAATGAGAAAACAAAAAACAGATCAATAGACAAGATACATCAATCCATTGAAATTTATATTTTATATGTATGTCAATGCCTAATTCTTACTGAGAGACTATAGAGATTGCAATTAATCAACATTTTAATGCCCTCAGCAACTATTTTGTTTTATACATATGGTACAAAAAGTTGGATAGATGATCCGTGCATCAGGGGTTTTCCCACTTCTATTTTAAGCTCTTTCCCCAACAAGCAAATATGTGAGCATACAGACAGTGCTTTACCCTCTTTACTGCCCCAAGACCAGTTTTCCGCTTTATGTATACATATATTAAAAAAGCTTATGTGATTGAAATGGATGAATGCGACCTTAAGATTGGATTATTTGAATATGTGTGAATGCAACTAGTTTGGGTTATAATTGGATTGTGATAAGTGGGACAGGACTAGGAGACCGCGTGTATGTAGAGGCTGATTCTGGGGTTGCGTATGTGTGGGAAGTCGTATTGAGTTTGCAAAGGTATGCTAGTTATGTTGCTTGTTTCTGGTATTGCTGCTTTTGGGGTTGTTGGTGTAGTGGGAAGGCCATTTGTAGGATTGCATAAGGTTGGAGTCCGTAAGCAGGGCCTGGTCTTTGGGGTTTGTGAGCTGTGCAGCTGCAGAGGGTGCCATAGAAACAGGGGTGCCAGTGGGCCATCACAGCTCGCAACAGCAGGCTGTTATGTACAAATGCCAGCTTCCTGTAAAAGCACCTATAAATAACTAACGCCCAAGACAGGCATATTTCAGCCTCTGCTACTTTTATAATACAGAGTTAACAAACATTTAACCCAGCTACTATGAACTACAGTTTCCTTCAAAGCCAGTTCATGGACTTGTTACAGTGCAGACTGAGAATTTTCAGCCACAAAAGTTGGCGACCCACAAGTTACATACTCACCCTCAGTTAAATACCTCACATATCAATCAGCTGTCATACACTCACATACCAATCACCAATTATATGCCAACATATACTTCCCTTAACATGACAAAAACCCTTCACACACACTCTGCCATGCACACAATCTAAACTCCCTGTCATATGCATTGACCCATCCTAATATATACCCCCTAATCCAGGGGTGTCAAACATGCGGCCCCCCCAGATGATGTTGAACTACAACTCTCATGATTCCCTGGCTATCTGTTTCATTGAAAGAATCATGGGAGTTGTAGTTCAGCAACATCTGGGGGGCCGCATGTTTGACACCCCTGCCCTAACCTTTTATTCATATTTACCACCTTGTCATATATTACTTTTTCACTTACTAGTCATAGTTCACACCCTGTAGTGCACCCCACCACACTTTCAAATCCCACCTTATTATATACCCCTAACATCACCTCCCAGTCATATTTCACATTTATATTCACTCTCCTACTCACATTACCCCCAACATCAACAACTAGTCATATACAACTAGTCCTTTCTACACACAGCCACATATCCACTCATTTAGTTATAAAAGGTGTGGGAAATTAACCTTTAATTGCCATTTTAACCTGTGTCACCTTGTGTGTCTGTAACAAGGCCAAAAATTAAAGGGTATGTAAACTTTTGATCAGGTCCATTTGGGTGATTTCTGTTATCATTATGATTTAAAAAGGAGCCAAACAGCTATGTGGTGATAAATGGCTTCATATGATCATTAGCCTTCAATAAAATATTTTTTTGCTTTTGTATGATCAGTCATTTTTCAAAATCAATGCCAAAATTTCACAATTTCTGTCAGGGTAAGCAAACTTTTGAGCACAACTGTATGTGTTAATGATTATATATGCCTCTCTTTAACTGCCCACAAGTAATGGAAGATTCAGACTACACAAGAGTCTTAAGATACTTAAGTTAAATTATTTGAATTTAAAAAAATAATAAACAAAGACATGAAAGTAAGGAATTTAACAAACAAGGACTGAACCTTGGGGGAAACTCAACATAGAGGAGTTGGGGAGAAGAAGCAGAGCCAGAGAAAGAAACACTAAAAGAGCGCTGGGAGAGGCAGGAGGAGCACCAGGAGAGAGCAATATCTTGTAGACCGATATTGCGGAGGATAAGAAGAAGCTGTTGATCAACAGTGTCAAAAGCCGCAGACAGGTCATGGAGAATTAGGATAGAGTAGTGACCACGAGATTTTGCAGCGAGTAGATCATTGGATACTTTGGTCAGTGCCGTTTCCACTGAGTGCTTAGCGCCGAAACCAGACTGAAGCGGGTCTAGCAGCGAGTTGGACTCGAGGAAGTCTGTCAATCTCGCATACACAATTCGTTCAAGGATCTTGGACGCAAAAGGCAGTAGCAAGATAGGACGATAGTTGGATGAGGAGTTAGGGTCAAGATTGGGCTTTTTTAGAATTGGGGTTACATTTGCATGTTTGAAGGGCGATGGAAATATACCAGAGGAGAGCGAGAGACTGAGAATTTTAGTGAGAGGTGGAGAAATGCTGCCTCGCTGCAACTTATACTGTCATATTTCTTGTTACAATTCTAAATTAATCTACAGAGACTTCTGAGAAAAATTCAACATTTAATTTAATTTTGGACATAGCATTCAGAATGAAATGTTGCCATGTTTTTATTGAACACACCATGTAAACATTCACAGTGCAGTTGGAAAAAGTATGTGAACCCTTGGATTTAATAACTGGTTGAACCTCCTTTGGCAGAAATAACTTCAACCAAACGTTTCCTGTAGTTGCAGATCAGACGTGCACAACGGTCAGGAGTAATTCTTGACCATTCCTTTTTACAGAACTGTTTCAGTTCAGCAATATTCTTGGGATGTCTGGTGTGAATCGCTTTCTTGAGGTCATGCCACAGCATCTCAATCGGGTTGAGGTCAGGACTCTGACTGGGCCACTTCAGAAGGCGTATTTTCTTCTGTTTAAGCCATTCTGTTGTTGATTTACTTCTATGCTTTGGGCCATTGTCCTGTTGCAACACCCATCTTCTGTTGAGCTTCAGCTGGTAGACAGATGGCCTTAAGTTCTCCTGCAAAATGTCTTGATAAACCTGGGAATTAATTTTTCCTTTGATGATAGCAATCCGTCCAGGCCCTGATTCAGCAAAGCAGCCCCAAACCATGATGCCCCCCCCACCATACTTCACAGTTGGGATGAAGTTTTGATGTTGGTGTGCTGTGCATTTTTTTCGCCACACATAGTGTTGTGTGTTTCTTCCAAACAACTCCACTTTGGTTTCATCTGTCCACAGAATATTTTGCCAGTACTGCTGTGGAACATCCAGGTGCTCTTGTGCAAACTGTAAACGTGCAGCAATGTTTTGTTTGGACAGCAGTGGCTTCCTCTGTGGTATCCTCCCATGAAATCCATTCTTGTTTAGTGTTTTACGTATTGTAGATTCACTAACAGGGATGTTAGCATTTGCCAGTGACTTTTGTAAGTCTTTAGCTCACACTCTAGGATTCTTCTTCAACTCATTGAGCAGTCTGCGCTGTGCTCTTGCAGTCATCTTTACAGGACGGCCACTCCTAGGGAGAGTAGCAGCAGTGCTGAACTTTCTCCATTTATAGACAATTTGTCTTACCATGCACTGATGAACAGCAAGGCTTTTGGAGATACTTTTATAACCCTTTCCGGCTTTATGCAAGTCAACAATTCTTAATCGTAGGTCTTCTGAGAGCTTTTTGTGCAAGACATCATTCACATCAGGCAATGCTTCTTGTGAAAAGCAAACCCAGAACTGGTGTGTGTTTTTTTATAGGGCTGGGCAGCTGTAACCAACACCTCCAATCTCATCTCATTGATTGGACGCCAGTTGGCTGGCATCTCACTCCAATTAGCTCTTGGAGATGTCATTAGTCTAGGGGTTCACATTCTTTTCCCACCTGCACTGTGAATGTTTACATGGGGTGTTCAATAAAAACATGGCAACATTTCATTCTTTGTGTATTATTAGTTTAAGCAGACTGTGATTGTCTATTGTTGTGACTTAGATGAAGATCAGATCACATTTTATGACCAATTTGTGCAGAAATCCATATCATTCCAAAAGGTTCACATACTTTTTCTTGCAACTGTATATTATGTTCTTAAGGATGTTTATAATAACTTCAAGATTGGAACAGTGTCTTGTCAAATATTTTGGAAATAAGAGTGGTGTATCAAGCCCTTTGACAGTTTCAGCATCTAGAGGGTCATTGGGTTGGTCTCCAAACAGACAATTGAGCTGATGTATCCTACAAAAACAACCTGTGAGGCACAAAAATTAAAGTTCTCCTCAGGGAGCTCTCTCTTATAATGACTTTGGCAGGAGGATTTGTCCTGGGTATTTCTGCAAGATACCTTCCTGATAAGGACAACAGACACACAGATTTCCTGAGCAGAATATAAAAGGACAACACATAATGGAGATGAATTAATAGGTCTTTAAGGAAATAGTTCACAGATGTGGCCAATCTTCAATAGATCTAATGCAAGGGCAGAAAAACCATCCTTTAGCAAATGGCAAGAAGCTCTAGCTTAAACTTGTTAAGTTTTTCACCCGGTTAATCAATTGATTTCAATAATAATATTCTGGCTGAAAAGGCAAAAGGTTTCCATTACTGCGACAGAGGACATTGGGATTTCCTTGAGAACTTCAGATTAGCAAATCTCCCAGAACACCAATAAGGGCCAATATTTCATCAATCCCCAGGCAGACCTTGTTTGATGGCATGGAGGTTGAATGGCAATTGTTGAGCAATCTAGGTCTTTCAGAGATGTCTACCCTAATCCGTTTAAGAACAAAAAAAAAAAATGAATTCTGCTAATTATCACAGAATTTGGATGTTTTTTGCTGAATGGGCTCAACCCAGAAATTGTCATAGCGCCTTCTCGTTCAGATTTAGTTTTTTTGTTTATTTTTTTTTACAGACTTCTGCATTATAAGCCATTACAAGTGTTCAATAGGCCTTTGAATCCATGGTTGCCAGGTTTATGGCTGTGGTCAAGAAAATCATACCTCCAAGGTAATTGTCCCATCCACAGGACCTACCTCTACTTCTCAGAGCTCTACCCTCTCTCTTCCATTTGAATCCATCCATGATGTTTCAGATCATGTGAAAACTGATTTATTGGTAACAGTAACATCAGCCAGAAGGGCATCAGTACTTCAGTCCCTTTGGAGCCCGAAACAATACACTATTTTTCATGCAGGTAAGGTCTTCATTGTACTCCTGACTTCAGGCCTAAGTTGGCTTTCGATTTTCATATAATTAAGTAAATTGTATTGTGTTATCATCCTTTTATCTGAGTTAGCAAACAGGAGATGAAGCATGTAATCACTTTGGATGTGGTGAGATGCCTTTCTGTTCACTTACAAAGAAACAGTCCATAGAGGAAGTCGACTAATCTGTTGCTTATTCTTCATGGATTCCGCATAGGGCAGATAGTCTCCAAACCTACTTTTTTTTTTTTAATTCTTTATTTTTGTTGTGCTGAGAAATACACGTAATTTGTCATGCCCCAACAGCTAATGACAATAGGATCGTCATGGTTACATGCTGGGCGTCGGCTTCCGTATATTCTCAACTGTCATGTTGTGCGGTGTCACCTCGTCGATTCATGTCAAGCATTGCACTAGATATAGGAAAATAAAGATTTGTGTTATTAAAGCATTATAAACTGTAAGCCACATCAAGAGGCCCCGTGGGTAGGCCTGCATGGGAATTTCAAGAGTCTCGTAACCCGCGGTATTGATTGCCGTAGTACGGTGGGGCGTAAGAGGGTTAATGAAGGAGTTGCAAAGAGTCAGGGTGAAGCCCCAGTTATGCACAGCGTACTGTGTGAACCCCTCCGGATCCTCTAGGAATTAGGATTGTCACTTGGAGGTTAATAGTCCCGTGCCCTGCTGCCGTGGAAGTCTGGGTGCTGTTGTGTGGAGCGGCATTGTACTCCAGCCCTATGAGTATTGGGCATCGGTCCAAAAGTGCTAATGCCCGTGATACAGCTGCCGGTGTCAGTTCAATTGTCCCAGAGGTTGCGGTAAGTAGTGTTCACAAGCTGTGGCGCATGGGGGGGGGGACATGGCCCATGCGCTTGAGGGACCCCACGACCCGCTCTTCTCTGCCATATCCAAAGTCCCGAATAGTGGGCCCGTGGGAGCCCAAATTTCATTGGGTCACTAGGGTTTAGATTAGTGT